GTTGAGGCAGAGTCTCAATCTGTCACCCAGGCTAGAGTGTAGTAGTGAGATCTTGGCTCACTGCAACCACCACCTCCCAGGTTCCAGCCATTCTCCTGCCTCAGCCTCCCGAGTAGCTGGGATTACAGGCACAGGCCACCACACCCGGCTAATTTTTGTATTTTTAGTGGAGATGGGGTTTTGCCATGTTGGCCAGGCCAGTCTTCAACTCCTGACCTCAGGTGATCCACCCACCTCGGCCTCCCAAAGTGCTGGGATTACAGGTGTAAGCCACTGTGCCCAGCCCCAAATGGCTCTTTTTAAGGAGTCTCTTTGTAGAGGCTGGAACCCACTCTCAGTCTCCAAATGAAGCAGGACCCAGGTCTGGGGAATAGGAGGCACTCAGTAGCTGCTTGCTAAACTGGATCTCCTTGCAAGCCGTGTTCCTGTAATTGAACGCTGCTTCTCCAAGGGCAGCTGCTTTGGAAATGCCTTGGGCGCCCCCTGGTGGTGACACACAAAGGCTGAGGCAGCACCTGTGCCTTCTGCCCTAATGGGTTCCTTTTACCTGGGGCCCTGTCCTTCCTGAGGCTCCACAGATCCCACCCAAGGGAGACGGTGGGTAGAAAGATGCAGCAAAGAAGGAAGAACCCTGTGGGGGAAGGATGAGTGGAATGTCCTTGCTGGAAGATTCCATGGCAGTTGGTGGGAAGCCATTGGCCTGAACAGGGGAACCAGGGGCAGAGGAAGTTGACACCTTAAGGCAGGGGTAAGGATCCCTGGCAGTGGACACAGAGGTGTGTCTGTGTAGGCACCCAGGTGTGTAGTGTAACAGGGAGATACATCTTACAGCCTCAGTCTGTCAACATTTCATGTTCACAGAAGACTGAGGAAATCTAGATTCCTGAAATCATTGATGGACCCTGGAAAAAAAAAAATAACCTAAATTCATCCAAGCTAGGGGTTTGTCCCATCAAATACTTCTGTGAGTCTGCATATGATAGAGTACAGGTTAGAAAAGTCTGCCACTCTGGACGGGCATGGTGGCTCAGGCCTGTAATCCCAGCAACTTTGGGAGGCCAAGGTGGGTAGATCACCTGAGGTCAGGAGTTCGAGACCAGCCTGGTCAATATAATGAAACCCTGTCTCTACCAAAAATACAAAAAATTAACCGGGCATGGTGGCACATACCTGTAATCTCAGCAACTCGGAAGGCTAAGGCAGGAGAATCGCTTGAACCTGGGAGGCGGAGGCTGCAGTGAGATGAAATTGTGTCACTGTACTGCAGCCTTGGCAACAGAGCAAGACTGTCTCAAAAAAAAAAAAAAAAAGGCCGGGCGCAGTGGCTCACGCCTATAATCCCAGCACTTTGGGAGGCCGAGGCAGGTGGATCATGAGGTCAAGAGATCGAGACCATCCTGGTCAACAAGGTGAAACCCCGTCTCTACTAAAAATACAAAAATTAGCTGGGCATGATGGTGCGCGCCTGTACCTCCCAGCTGAAGTACAGGAGAATTGCTTGAACCTCCAGAAGGCGGAGGTTGCGGTGAGCCAAGATTGTGCCATTGCCCTCCGGGTCTGGGTAACAACAGTGAAACTCTGTCTCAAAAAAAAAAAAAAAGGAAGTCTGCAACTTTGATTTCCCATAGGTATGAAGGGAAGAGATGAGAAAATAGTAAACCAGAGAAGGGAAAAGGGAGAAGCAGAGGTTACTTGAGAAATCCTTGAGGCAAAACGAGCAGTCTTCAGAAGGCTAGGTTGGCTGTAACTTTTCAAAGATAAACACCAACAATAAAGCTTGGGCTGTAGCTATGAGTGAGGACCAACAGAGAGTCAAGGGGCTGGCCTGATAGCCTTCTAGTTTCTGGACCAACAGTACCAGCTATGCTATGTGGTCTCACAGGAGGCTTCAGGAAGGATCTGAAGCTTCTTGAGGGCAGAGGCTGTAGTTCTACATCCCTCCCTCCAGCACCCTCCCTCAGCATCCTGGGGAAGGGATGTCCACTGTCTGTTACCGATAGATTAGATGAGGGCGGCCATGTGAATAAAAGGACAGAGAATGTCAGGAAGCAGGAAAAGCACAGGAAAGTGAAGAAAGAAGGCAATTGAGAAGTAGACATGGAAGAAGTAAAGTGAAAGCGAAAGCAGCTTGGCTTGAAAGAGAAGGGTAAGTCCCTGGGAAGGGTTAAAAGGATATAGTCATTCAGTCAGACAGCAAACATTTACTGTGCACCTACTATAATCAAGCAATACACTGGGAACGGAAGGTGCCATGGTAGACAAGACAAGCATGGGGTTTTTAGTGGTGGGGAATGTGTAGTTTTGCAAGTTAGAAATGGAGAGGAAGTGACAACCTGGAGTAGAGAGAAGCTGAAAGCAGTTGGAGACAAGATGGAAATATCACTGAGAGAACCTGCCTCCAGACACACCAGGGAGGAGATGTCACCCCTGGCTGAGGTTGACAGACACAGCTGGAGCCACCCACCAGCCCTGGCTTTGTGAAGATGGCAGAATGTAGGGTAGGAAGAGGAGAAATTCAGAGAGGGGAGGGACAGGAGTAGGTGGCGGTGGAGGGCACAGACTTTTCCTGGTTTTTTACTTGGGGACCCCCAATGGGAAGGTATCTTCGGGCTAAGGAGCACTTCTCCACATTTGGTTGCCCACTGGAATCACCTGAGGACTCCTTAATACTGAGGCCCCCAAAGATTCTAATTTCCTGGGATGGGACCCAGACTTCAGAATCTATTAACAGCTCTTTTAATGAGTCTCAGGTGTGGCCATGACTGGGTGCAGTGGCTCATGCCCATAACCCTAGCACTTCGGGAGGCTGAGGCAGGAGGATGGCTTGAGCCCAGGAGTTTGAGACCAGCCTGGGTAACATAGGGAGACTCCAGCTCTATAAAAAAAAATTTTTTTAATTAGCCAGGCATGGTGGTGCACACCTGTAGCCCCAGCTACTTGAGAGGGTGGGATGGGAGGATCACTTGGGCCCAGGAGGTTGAGGCTGCAGAGACCCTGTCTCAAAAATAATAATAAAGGCCAGGCACAGTGGCTAACGCCTGTAATCCCAGCACTTTGGGAGGCCGAGGCGGGCAGATCACAAAGTTAGGAGTTCGAAACCAGCCTGATCAACATGGTGAAACTCTGTCTCTACTAAAAATACAAATATTGGCTGGGTATGGTGGCGCACACCTGTAATCCCAGCTACTCAGGACGCTGAGGCAGGAGAATCGCTTGAACCCGGTAGGTGAAGGTTGCCGTGAGCCAAGATCATGCCATTACACTGGGCAACAGAGCAAGACTCCATCTCAAAAGAACAAATAAATAAAAATAAAATAAAGTGTGGCCAGAGAGGCCACGAGCACATCCAAGTTGCTGCCTGAACACCCCCTGTCTATTGAAGACAGGGTACATCTTGAAAGATGAGATCTCTCAGAGGAGTTGTGTAGTATTTGGGGGAGCGGGGGTGTTTTTGAACACAAGGCTCTAAGACTCCAATGGGCCTGATAAAAGTATAAGGGAGTCCTCTTAGAAAGTGTCCTCTTCTTAAGGGCTGGGCGCGGTGGCTCACGCCTGTAATCCCAGCACTTTGGGAGGCCAAGGCGGGTGGATCATGAGGTCAAGAGATCGAGACCATCTTGGTCAACATGGTGAAACCCCGTCTCTACTAAAAATACAAAAAATTAGCTGGGCATGGTGGCGCGTACCTGTAATCCCAGCTACTCAGGAGGCTGAGGCAGGAGAATTGCCTGAACCCAGGAGGCGGAGGTTGCAGTGAGCCGAGATCTCACCATTGCACTCCAGCCTGCGTAACAAGAGCGAAACTCCGTCTCAAAAAAAAAAAAGTGTCCTCTTCTGCCGGGCACAGTGGCTCTCACCTGTAATCCCAGCAGTTTAGGAGACTGAGGCGACTGGATCTGTTGAGGTTAGGAGTTTGAAACCAGTCTGGCCAACGTGGTGAAACCCCATCTCTACTAAAAATACAAAAAAATAGCTGGGCGTGGTAGCGAGCACCTGTAATCCCAGCTACTCGGGAGGCTGAGGCAGGAGAATCACTTAAACCCGGGAGGCGGAGATTGCAGTGAGCCCAGACGGTGCCACTGCACTCCAGCCTGAATGACAGAGAGAAGAGTGTCTCAAAAAAAAAGAAGGAGAAAAAGAAAATATCTTCCTTGGCTGTCTCTAATAAGAAAAGAGTAAGATAGTCTAGAAACAAAGAGAAAACAAGGATAAGGTGACCTTTAAAAGAGCAAAACCAGCCAGGCATGGTGGCTCACACCTGTAATCCCAGGACTTTAGGAGGCCGAGGAGGCAGACCCCGCTTGGGGTCAAAAAAGGGCAAAACCAATCACATAATTCAAAACTACTGCAGAATTCTAAGTTTTCACACGCTGTCTCCCCTACATGCGTGTGCACACTCTCTCTCTTTTTTTTTTTTTTTCAGACGGAGTCTCGCTCTGTTGTTGCCCAGGCTGAAGTGCAGTAGTGCAATCTTTGCTCACTGCAACCTCCACCTCAAACAATTCCCCTGCCTCAGCCTCCGGAGTAGGTGGGATTATAGGCCCAGGCCACCACAGCCGGCCAATTTTTTTGTATCTTTAGTAGAGACAGTCTCACCACGTTGGCCAGACTGCTTTCAAACTCCTGACCTCAGGCAATCCGCCCTGCCTCAGCCTCCCAAAGTGTTGGGATTACAGGCTTGAGCCACCGCACCTGGCCTACTTTTTTTTTTTTTTCTTCACCTCTGCTGTCTTCATGATGGAGTCTCTAGGATAGAAGTATAGCTACCCCCAGCTTTTCTCCCAGAGGTTTGACAATGGCCCAGCAGGATATTCAACCCCACCTACCTCCCCCCGAAACCCATGTACCCTAATACAGGTGAGTCATGGAACCCGGGTGGAGTCCTTGGTTTGACAGTGAAGCAATCTTAACTTGAAAAATGGCCTGGGAACAGAATGTATGGACTATACAAACGAGTCAGGCAGATGTCATTGTATGCAAATATTCATTCTTTAACTTACTTTTCCTGCTGATCCTCCTCTGTACTGGCCTCAATCCTTCTACCACAGCTCAATCTAGCAGGAGACTCAGAAGTGAGAATTGTAAGGTTTGAATGAGGCAACTGAGGTTCGAATGAGGCAACTGAGGTCAGTTATTCAAATAAAGAAATTTAATTGGCTCCTGGGCGAGGTTCTACAGTCGGACACAAGGGCCAGGAGAAGTCGCGCCAACTTCCTGGGGGAGGGGGTTATGGCTATGAGGAACGAGCAACAGCTGGGTATTCTGATTGGCTCCAGGGGAGCGGGATTGGGACGGGGCGGGCTGCCATTGGTTGGCGGGTTGGGCGGGTTTTCCGGTGCGAGAGACTGCCAGGGTTGCATCAGCCGGAGCCTTCCAGGGGAGCCATCCAGCAGAGCTTCGTGCCGAATGCAGAGCCTGGTGCCGGGTGCAGAGTCAGGTGCTGAGTGCAGAAGTGGATGTGTCCGGCCTCCGGGCGAGGCAACCGGCCTTACAAGAATGAAAGTGTGGAAATAGTGTGTGAGAGAAGCCCTTTTGCATGTGCCAGGTCAGCGCAGAGGAGGACGAAGCTATGGCTGGCCAGGAGTGTGGTATGCAGACCTTGAGAAGGGTTTTGAAGGATGCATAGGAGTTTATTTTTCTGAGAGACAGGGTCTCACTCTGTCACCCAGGCTGGAGTGCAGTGGTGTGATCATAGCTCATTGTAAGTTCAAACTCCTAGGCTCAAGTGATCCTCCCACCTCAGCTTCCCAGGTAGCTAAAACTGTAAGTCACCACATGTGGCTAATTTTTAAATTTTTTTTTGTAGAGACAGGGTTTCACCATGTTGCCCAGGTTGGTCTCAAAATCCTGGGCTCAAGCGATCCACCTGCCTCTGGCTTCCCAAAGCGCTAGGAATACAGGTGTGAGCCATCACACCCGGCCATGGATTCATAGGAGTTTACCAGAAGGAAGGGTAAGATAGGAAGTAAACTAGTAGAAAATAGCTTAAGTGTTTAGGAACCGTGAAATCTTTCGGCGGGGGGCGGAAGGGTAAGATTTCTAGGAAGGGAATGGGGGTAGAGGGAGGAGATAAAGCATGAAAGATACACAAGTAAGAGTATGTACTCAGGTGGATGCTGAGGTTAAGAAAAAAAGAGTGTGGATCTTCATCTGGTTACAGTCCCCTTAAAAAAAAAAGTGTGGAGGGCTTTGCCTAAAAAAAAAAAAAAAAAAGGAGTTTGGGCTTTATGAAATACGGATCCCATGAAGGCTCTTTACTAGGAGTGATACCGTCTAAAGTCTTTTTTTTTTTTTTTTTTTTTAAAGATGGGGTTTCACCACATTGGTCAGGCTGGTCTCGAACTCCTGACCTCAGGTGATCCGCCCACCTCAGCCTCCCAAAGTGCTGGGATTACAGGAGTGAGCCACGCGCCCGGCCTAAAGTCTTGTTTTTCAAAGGCTAACACATAGTAGAATGGAAGAGGCTATTAACATTTATTCACCAATTACTGTGTACCTGGCATTCTGCTCTGTATTTGGTATTATCACACCAACCTTTTCTAGCAGTGTTTTTCAAACTGCCAGTCATGATCAACAAGAATGAATAGGATATGCATAGAAACTATCAGTGCGTCACAAGTAGTAAGCATTGTTTTCGGAAACCTTATTACACTCTCATGCAAACAGAAGCGTAGTGGTCAGTATGCAAAATTTTCTCATGATGGGTTATGGTTTTTTTGTTTTTGTTTTAACCCATTACTCTAAGGTGTAGATGTGATCAACCTCGTTTTACTGATGAGGACACGAGGGTCAGGGAGCTTCGGTACCCTGCCTAAGTTAGTGGCATGAGTAGGTTTTCTGCAGCCAGAATGGATTCCCTCACTAAAAGCCAGGCAGTCTTCCGAAGTTGTCGGAAGAGACTTGGGAGCAAAGATAAAACCATCGCGCCAAGCGCAGTGGCTCATGCCTGTAATCCCAGCACATTGGGAGGCCGAGGCGGGTGGATCACCTTAAGTCAGAAGTTCGAGACCAGTCTGACCAACATGGTGAAACCTCGTCTTAAAAAAAAAAAAAAAACACCAAAAAACTACCCGGTTAGTGCTTACCAAGTGCTTTACCTCATTTCGAGGTAAGGGCAAGTGGGCCAAGCAGTGCTTCTTCTTTTTTTTTTTTTTTTCCTCTTCAGAAGTGACGCTCTGACTGGCGTAGCCCCGGGAGAGTGCATCTCAAACTCGAGCGTGCAATTATGTCTACGGGAGGCCCTTGTTAAAATGCAGATTCTAGGCACGACCCGTGAAGTACCAAGTCGAATTAGAAGAAGCGGCCCGAGGAACCTGCCTTTAGAAAGAACTTCAGATGATTCAGATGCACACGTTAGGGACTGTGGGTTATGGGGGTCGCCGCAATAACCATGTGAGGATTAACGGGGGCTTAACCGATTGGGAAAATCCCCTCAGAAGCGTCGCGTAACAATCCAACTCCCTCTACGGTGCCGGACCCCAGTGCTTCGCCCCTCCCGAGGCGATGACAAGCGGGGAACTAAATAAAAGGTTGGTGGCTTTCCACTCACCAAGCATAGGGTTGAGTGGCAGCCGGCTACTGCCGAAGAGCCCGTGAAAGCTCCTGGCACACCTGGGAGAGAGTGGGCTTAAGGCGCAATGTATACGCTGTTTATGAGGCATTTGTGGGCCTCACCCTAATGACTTCTGATTGGCTTCAGGGCAAATCTATCACTCATCCTCTGGGTTAGAGGTGGGTGGAAGGTCAACCACGACCAATACAAAAGCACTCCTAGGATAAGCCCCTCCCCTTCCAGCTTCCTGTTGCTGTCCATCAACCACCCAGTAGGCGGGACTTTGACTCCCTCCAATTGGCTGGTGAACATGTCGTTCATTCTTCAATTGGCTTCCGGTTGGTGGGTTTTACCGTCGATCAGTGACATTGCATAAACCTATTGGCCAAGTCAACGTCGCTCTAGACGCCTCTGGTTGATTGGTTAGTAATGCTGTCGGTCCCCAATGTTCCAAGCGCTTATTGGTGAAGGCTGCCGTCGCTCGGGCGGTGGCGGGCTCCGGGATTGGCGGGTGCTAGGCGGGCGGTGTCAGGCTCTCGGTGGCGGCGGAGGCGGCGGAGGCCAGGGAGGAAGATGTCGTAATGAGCGGTGGGTCCCGGCCCCTGCCGGCGGGGTCTTCCCGGCCCCCAAGGGTCAGGAAGACGGGCAGAGGCCGCGGGGAGGGGGAGCCGAGGCCGGGGGTTCCCCCCTGGGGCCGGGCCTGACGCCGGGGCCCGGCTTCGGGAGGGGCGGGGGAGGGAGGATTCCCGCCCGGAGGAGGAGCGGGGCTGGCCAGCCGGGCGGAGGCACCCGGAAGGGGGCGTTCGACTCCCCGCCTCCTCGGAGCCCGCCGGGCGGGAGGGCGGCGCTTCCGGGGGCCAGTGAGAGTAGCGGGCACCGGGGCGGCCTGGCACCCCTCAGTCGGGTGCCGACCCATCTCAAAACTGCTCGCCCGCCTGGGCGGACTATGCTTGAGTCTGCTTCGAGGAGGCAGCCGACAGCCCTCGTGCTTGCCTCGTGTTTGAGGGGCCTTCTTGCACTCTTAACTGTAGATGCCCACCAGCGATTAAGGGCTCCCCGGAGCACAGAGAGGGGCGAGGGAACGCTTGAGATCCAGATGGACACTGCTGGGCGTCGACGCCAGCCCGGTTACCGATGTATCCTAATCGGGAGATGGTGTCAGGACACGAGGGCACTCCCTAGGCAGATCACCTGTCACTGGGTAGTGGGCAAAAACCTTCCTTTAATGTTTGCACTTGGATCCTTGAGCCTCCAGCTAGATATCTGCCAGCTCTTAGCAGAATTATGAGAAGTTTGGAACTTGTTGCCAAAGCTCCCAGCCTGTTACCTGACGCCCCTTGGGGGAGACGGCTGCAATCCCAAAGCTCAGGTGCAAACAATCTTAAGGAATTACAGAAGAAATAGAATAGAAACTTGCTCTCTTCCTCAACACACCTTCATCCCCTTTCCTGACTTGCTTCTTACCCATGCTTCTTATGTTTCCTTCTCAGCGGCTTTCTAATTTTAGTTCAAAAGGAACTATGTCTTTGGGCAACTGAGAAACCTGTCCTCACTGCATTCCTTGGTTGTGATTCCAATATCCTGTCATGTTTGTTCCTTAATTAACTTCATCCAAGGGGACTCAGTCTGGCTTTTCTCAGTGCATTCTCGCAAAGTTCTTTCTTTTTCTGCGGTTACTTCTTGTTCACTTACTGTTTCCTAGAGAAAGGTATGAGCCAGTAGATCTGCTTTAAACAATGAATTGACTCAAGTTTCCCGTTACACAGATTTCATTACAGATGGAAGGACACTGACTGTTTCAAGGTGCACTGGCATGCACTGTCTAAAACGTTTTCGTGCTGTACCCCAGAAGGCATTCAGTTTCAAGTGGAGGGCTGTATTGAGGTGGCATTCTGGATTACGATTTTTAGGGCTAGGAAGTTTACAGTGTTGGCCAGCCTCACAGGCTGCAGAGGGAACAATGGTGGAGTCCAGACCGCAGCAGTAATTTCAATTACTAACATAAAGAAACCCATTGTCTGCAATAATGAATATAACTGCAGTGTCTTGTTTTGTTTTAAATTCTTGTGTGTGATGAAGGGGGCGAATCTATCAGACAGCCTATCAATTGGGCTGATGATGTCAGTGTTCCAGTGGCTTCTAACAGGCATTAATACCTGTTGGAAATGGAATCTTATTGGCTGGGGCAATTGGTAAGTTTTCTAATTCTAGTTCTTCCTCTTGGTTGTACAGAGGCTTAACCTCTTTGGGTAAAAGTAACTGCAAGGCTGGACGCGGTGGTTCACGCCTGTAATCCCAGCACTTTGGGAAGCCGAGGCAGGTGGATCATGAGATCCTGAGTTTGAGACCAGCCTGGCCAACATGGTGAAACCCCGTCTCTACTAAAAAAATACAAAAATTAGCCGGACGTGGTGGTGCGCACCTATAATCCCAGCTACTCAGGAGGCTGAGGCAGGAGAATCGCTTGAACCTGGGAGGCGGAGGTTGCAGTGAGCCGAGATGACGCCATTGCACTTTAGCCTGGGCAATAAAGAGAGACTCTTAAAAAAAAAAGCTAGTCTGACATAATGAGCCTCCGTGAGCTAGGCTGCTGAAGCCACGAGCTCTGCCAGGGAGACGCAAGTAGAGTTTGTTCATAATTAGATCCTCACCTGACTGCCCAACAGGGAGAACTGGCTCCAGGAGGAAGAGTTTGGCATCACTGTGGACAGCAGATAGACTGGCCACTTTTCTCTCTCGGATTCTATTAAAGTTTGGGCCTCTGGAGGTCTGTCAGAGAGGAGAAAAGAAATTATAAGATTTGGGCAAGCTGGGCATAGTGGCTCAGGCCTGTAATCCCAGCATGATGGGAGGCCAAGGTGGGCAGATCACTTGAGGTCAGGAGTTCGAGACCAGCCTAGTCAACACTGACTAAAACCAACCCTGTCTCTACTAAAAATACAAAAATTAGCTGGGCATGGTGTCCCGTACTTGTAATCCGAGCTACTTGGGAGACTGAGGCAGGAGATTTGCTTGAACCCAGCGGGAGGAGGTTGTATGTAGTGAGCCAAGATTGTGCCACTGCACTCCAGCCTGTGCGACAGGGTGAGACTCCATCTCAAAAAAAAAAAAAAAAAAAAAAAAAGATTTGGGCAGATGTCTGGGGTAAAGAAACTTTTTATTCGGCAAGTAGAGTGGTTGGTTCATTTTGATATTTTGGCCTTGAACTTCTTAGTTCTTCCGATGGTTAATAGCAGCCTTTTAGAGAAGCTGAACAGCCCTTTGCTACAGGTCTGTAGCAGTTCCCAAGCTTACTGTAAGCAAGTATAGTATTCCCCAATCAGGGCCCTTATGAAGACATCTTAAACTTGTTGCAGCCAACCAGTAGACCTAGTATTGGCTTTGTTTCAGCAATCCTCTAAATCTTGCCCACTCATATTTCTGTGATAGATACGTAGCATGTTCTTTTTCAAAGACTTATTTTTCACCCCTTCTCTCCTTTTCTGTATTGGAACACAAAAATTGGAAACCCTGCTTCCAAACATTGAAAAATTTAGGATATTTTGGATCAGGTGAACAATGACTGTGGAATGAAAGATGCAGAGAAACACTGCTTTAAAGGGTGTGTAGAGAATTACAAAGTTTAGGGAGTAGCCTGACCACTTCTGAGTTTACAAGATTTAACCGTATGGTCCAATCTTAAACCTTGTGGGCTGCAAACCTGGAGTAAAATCTGTTCCGAGAAGCTCATATACTTTCTTAGAGGTTCATTGGGTGATATGTATGGAGTTTTCCCTTTTTGCAACTGACTTGGATTTGTGAATTTCTTCCCAGCACCTACAGGCTGAACTAAACCAGTGACTGGTACATCTCTGGGCTGAGAAATGGACATTTGGAATGCATTTGTTGCTTTTTTGCTTATTTCTTTTTGCCTTGCTTTTGTTTTGGATATTCATGCAACTCCTTGTATGGCACTGTCTAGACCCGTTGTGGGAGGAAAAAATCTTCTTTCTCTTTATTTCTTCCCTCATAGAGCCAACACTTAGATCTTTATGTTTCTGAAATATAGTTGAGCATCTTTTTAAAGATGCTCTTCCTCAATTATCAGCAGATCTTGTTTTGGCTGGCAGCATTCTCTTAGGAGACCTCAGGGTGGAGGAGGTCTTACTTTCCTGTCAGCAATCTATTGGAGCAAGGTGGAAAGATGAGTGAAAAGGGTAAAAATATGGGACATTTCTTCTTTAAAATAATAGAGGTGCGGTCTGTATGCCAGGCTGGTCTCAAACTCCTGGCCTTGAGCCATCCTCTCACCTCAGCCTCCCAAAGTACTGAGATTACAGGCGTGAGCCACTGTGCCCAGCCAATGTGGGACATTTCTGACTCAACAGTATTGTCAGGACATGTAGGAAAGGGAGTAGAGATTACCCTTGAGGAGATGCACCCAGGTGGCAGGGTTGTCCTACTTGACAGATTGCAAATGGAAAACGGATTTTTCTACTGGCTCTGGGGACACTGAGAGAAGAACCTCTGCATGAGTTCAGAGGCAGCACTGGCAGCTTAGGGGAAGTCATGGCTTCCACTCCGTGTCTAAGAAGCACTTTCAGGATGCTTGGAGGCTGCCATTGGCACAGGGAATTACTGTGATTCTCATCAGACTGGGTTGCAGGCTGATGTGCTCTTGGGAGATGAGCTCTGCTCAGGAGCAAGGGGGTATGAAAAGGCCGATGTTTCTCTGACTGCCCCAGTGAGCAGCGAGATGTCGAGGCTATGTGTGTCATAGGACAAACATACTTGCAGACCCAACTGTTGGAATCCTTCATTGGCATCTCATTCCCTTTGCTGCGTTGTGTCTCCACATCACAATTGCTTGCTGTGTCTAGCCAGAAGCCCTACCACATTGCAGTGCAGAGGCTTAGCTTACTTGTTTTTGTTGCTAACTGCTCTGAGATACCAGTTTGTCCCTTTGTGGTGATTTAGGCAGTTAGGTGGCCTTTCATCTCAATCAAAGGGTAAAAGTGGCTCAGGGGAAGCTAGCGGACAGTAGCTTACACATTTCCAAATGTCATCTTTCTAGAGCCTCCTCTTTGAGGTTGTCACCTCTCCTGTAGGATTTGGTAGAATCACAAAGTGGCCTCCAAGAGAGTGTGAATAGGGAGTAAGAGTGAGCAGGTAAGGCCATTTAATTGGAAGCAGAATATTTTTGCTCCCAGTTGATAATTGGGAATCTTCTCAGATCAGCCTAGAAGAAAAAGACCAAGACATTTCCCAGCCTTTAAAAAAGTAAATGGTAAGTAAGCCAGCTCTGTCATTTCAGGGGAAATGAAATCACCACTCATTCCTGGCCCAGGGCTGGGCTCTGTGATCATGCCAGTAACCCCAGCACTTTGGAAGGGTGAGGCGGGCAGATCACTTAAGGTCAGGAGTTCAAGACCAGCCTGGCTAACATGGCGAAACCCCATCTCTACTAAAAATACAAAAATCAGCCAGGGGTGGTGGCACGTGCCTGTAGTCCCAGCTTGAACCTGGGAGGCAGAGGTTGTAGTGAGCCTAGAGCATGCCATTGCACCCCGGCCTGGGCGACAGAGCAAGACTCCATCTCAAAAAATAAAACTGATCCTGGCCCAGGATAAATGTGGGGAGTGACTCACAAATAAATGTGCCAAAGCACATAATGAAATTCATTAGGGGAAAAAGTTTATCTTGCTTTCTTTTTTCCCCTGTTCTCTAAGAATTCGAAGGGCCAGTATTCTTTGACAAAAAAAACCTTGATGCTCTTTCCTGGGCCTGCTTTGATCAGGTTCTCATCACCCGAGGCGGTCGTCACCCACTCACTTCCGGAGTCCATTCCAGTACAAAGGGGTGTGACCCTGTCAGGATGCAAACTAGCAAATGACATAGTCAGGTTTTGAAAAGAAGAATTAAGAGTGGAGACAGACAGGCCTTACGCAAATTCCAGTGCCTTCCTTATCTTAACTTTCCCCCAATGCATGTCAATTGAGAGAAGCACTGAAATGCAGTAGTACCTGAAGTGATGAGAGGTGTGGGCTTTGTTATTTTTGACGCGGAGCAGGACTGGACTGCACTGGCCCACATGTGAGGTGACAGGTGGGATCGAGGGTTCCATCACGGTCTGGCTCAGCTAAACCCAGCTGTGGAGTAGATCCTGGCCTAGTGCCAGGATATGCAAATCTGCAGCTTTTCTCCTTTGGTTGCAAAACTCTGTAGGCTCTCCTACTCTAAAGCCTCCATTCACTTATTCAACAACTATAGATTATTAAGCACCTACCACATGCCAGGGACTAGGGATACATCAGTGAGTAAGGCAGAGAAGTCCCTGCCTTTAGAAAGCTCACATCTTGGTGGGAGACAGTGAGTAACTAATAGATATTTGTTGGACAGTGAGAAGTGCTAAGGAGGCAAAACAAGGATAAGGAAAGAGCTGGGGGGGGGGGGGTGGAGAACAAATTACATAGGATGGTCAGGGAAGGTCTCAATGTTAAGGTGACATCTGAGTAAAACCCTGAAGCAGTTGGGAGGAGATTGTGCCTTGTTCTATCTCTGGTGAGGGGAAAAGGGTGAGAACTCAAGCAGAGAGAAGAGCAAATGCAGAGGCCCTCAGGTGGGGCCATACTTGGTATGTTGAGAAACAGCAGGGTGCCAGCATTGCTGAAGCAGTGAGAGGGAGAATGACAGGGCAGGTGAGAGAGGTCAGGTCACATGGGCCTTATGCATCACTGTGGAGACTTTAGCTCTTACTTTGAGTGGGAGATGGGATGGTATCGGGGGCCTCCAAGCAGAGGAATAACATGGTTTCATTTAAGTGTGATAGGTCTTAACTCTGGATGTGTTGAGAACAGACAGATGGGGTCAAGGTCAGAAGCATAGCTAGGAGGTTTGTCAATTAATCCACGGGAGACATGATAGAAACCTGGACCTAGGTGATGACAGAGGAGGTGGTAGAAGCTGTCAGGTTTGGCATATATTCTGAAGATAGAGCCAAAGTGTTTGCTGTCAAGTGTAGGGTGTGGAAAAAAGATAAGGACAACCCCAAAGTTGTAGGGCTGAGCAGCTGGAAGGACGGAGTTATTATTTGTTCACTACAGTGAGGAATTTTGAAAGAGTCAAAATTCCTTCAAATTGGGAACACTGTTAGGGGCTAGATTTACGGCGTCTATTAATACGTCCAAGTGGAGATGTCAGTGGGCAGTTGGATATACAAGTCTGGAGACAGAAATTTGAGAGTTAAAATTACATAGAATCTATATCTTACTGGTGTCTAAACCCACAAGACTAGACAAAATCATTTAGGAAACAGATGTAGACAGAAGAAAGGTCCTGAGACAGAGTCCTGGGGCAACCCAATCATTTCAAATTTGAGAAAGAAGAGGAAGAACCAGCAGAGGAGATATGGGAGAAGTTAGCCAGAGAAATAGAAGACCAACTTGGCAAGTGTGTCCTAGAGGCCAAATGAAGAAAATGTTTCAAGGAAGAAGAGGCCGGTTGTGGTGGCTCATGCCTGTAATCCCAGCACTTTTGGAGGCTGAGGCGGGCGGATTACTTGAGGTCAGGAGTTGGAGACCAATCTGGCCAACATGGTGAAACCCTGTCTCTATTAAAAATACAAAAAATGAGCTGGACATGGTGGCAGATGCCTGTAACCCCAGCTACACAGGAGGCTGAGGCAGGAGAATTGCTTGAACCCAAGAGGGGGAGGTTGCAGTGAGCCAAGATCAAAAGGAAGAAGAGCAATCAACTGTCAGAGCACCACAGACGATTTGGTTTAAGAAGTAGCCATTAGGTTTTTAGCAACATGGAAGTGTCTGGTGGCATGAACACTTTTGGTGGCATGCATGGGGAAGGTGAGCCTGGCTGGAGCAGGTTTAAGAAAAGCTAGCAGAGAGAAATTAAGGACAGTAAGTATAGGTTACTCTTGTAAGGGGTTTTGCTTGAAGAAAAGGGGAGACATAATGGATCTTAGCTGATGAGGGAAATTTTAACTTCTTGATTAAATTGTGGACACACCTAAGGGTCATTACCTGAGGCTGGGGGTTCCAAGTTACAGGGAGGGAAGATGGGAGGCTCAGTAAAGGGTTAATGTGGAGACAAGATCTCTATTCCTTACTCACCTTCTTCCTTCCGCCTGTAGCATTAGCAAGCCACTGCCCAGAGTTGTCCTCATTTGATGAAAGTCATTGAAATTTGTTTTACTGTTATTGGGCTGTTATACAATGGTTTTTGTTTATTTGTTCGTTTGAATTATTTATTTATTTATTTAAAACAGGGTCTCACTCTGTCACCCAGGCAAGAGCGCAGTGGTGCAAACATGGCTCACTGCAGCCTTGACTTCCTGTGCTCAAACAATCCTCTGTCCTTGGTCTCCTAAGTAGCAGGGACTACAGGCACACACCATCACTTTCAGCAAGTTTGTAAATGTTTTTTTTAGAGGTGGCATCTTGTTGTGTTGCCCAGGCTAGTCTTGAACCCTGGCCTCAACTGATCCTTCTGCCTCGGCCTCCCAAAGTGCTGGGATTACAGGTGTGAGCCACTGTGCCCACCTTATAATGTTTTTGGTGATTGCTGAGGTTTGCTTCTCATTGAAATGTTCAGTACAATTTGGAGTCTTTCACTACCAAGGTTGCTGCTGTCTTCATCCAAGTGGATTCTCTTACCCTGTTTGTCAGCTTCCTTTGAGGTCCATCTTTGTTCTCTAAACCAGTCAGGGCATGCTTTTCCTTCACCAGCTCTGAATTCTTCCAGGCTAGGCAACTGGAAAAGCCTGGGCTTAGAAACTGCTTTGTTGGCCTAAGGCCCAGCTGAGCTGACCAAAATAGCCAACAGAAAGACTGTTTGCACAGTGTGAAATTCCTCCAGGGGAAATACCATAGCAGAAGGCCAAGAAAGCCAGAGCCACGATGGCAGGAACCCACAGGCGGAAAAAGCTGAATACCCGCAAGGCCTGAGTTGGAGTCAAGTTCTCTCCAGAAGGAAAACCTTCCTAAAGCCTATTGTTGTGGTCTTTCTGTAGGTGCCTTTTCTCATTCGCTGGGTCTCAACAGTAACGTCCTCAATGAAAAGACCAGTCGGACAGCCTGCAGCCTGGCAGTCAGGGCTCAGAGGTCTCTTCCTGTTACGTGCTCCCCCAAGTCAGCCCTAGAAAGACCTGTGGGACAGAGACACACTACCTGCTCTGCGTTGGTGGGACAGAGCAGAAGGGTGCCTTGGGGAGTATGTACTGGCAGGTGGCAAGGTCACCTGCCCCAGACTTGCGATGGAGGTCAGGAAAGGCTTTCCCTGAGTGAGAGTATAAATGAGCTCTGAAGGACAGAAGCTGGCCAGGCAAATGGAAGAGTGTGCTTCAGGATCCAAGTGAGACAGGGTGACGTGTTTTAATTCCAGAAATGAAAAAACTGAAGTGTGCGTTGGGAGAGTTGAAAGGGCAAGAGGCTGGGGGGAGGGACAGGGAGGGACAGCTTGTTTTGGCCTTTATAAGAGCATCAGGGAGCAATTGAGGGCGTTAATCAGGAGAGTGGCTAGATGGGATTTGCATTTTAAAAAGAGCATTCTGACCAAACTGTGGAGGCTGGCTAAGGGGGAGGCCAGTGGCCAGTATCTCAGGTGGATCATGGTGATGAGGGTGGGGAGCCTGGGTACACTACAGGAAGATTTCTGTTTATGAAATGGAATCATAAGGACTTGATTGATTGGCAGTGAGGGGGATACTCAGGTTTTGTCCTGATTGGAGATACCAGAAGAGAGGCTATTTTAACCTCGGATATTCATGCAGCCTATAGGCACTGAAGGTGTCTGTGAGCCATGTGCCAGGGTTAGTGTCAGCAGTTCAGTGGTGCAGACAGACATGGCCCATCTTGGGGAGCCCTTACATACATTAAGCTCATGATTATTTAATGGGTGAGTGTTCCCAAAGGAGTTAACCTCATCTCAGGGGTCTAGAAAGGCCTCTCTGAGACAATGGCATGCCTGTTACATAATGGGTCTTAAATTATGCTGGGAAAGTTAAACAGCTAGAGACCTGAAGGGTAAGGCCTTAGCTAGTGAAGAGAACAGAAAGAACTGTAAGCAAGGAAAGGCAGGTGCAGAGACGAAGGTTTTTCAAGGATCTGGAAGAAGGCCTGTGGTGGCCGAGGGTGAGAAAGCTGGAGAAAGAATGGGCAAAGCTGACAGCTCAGTGCTGGAAGTGTCTGTGGAGTCCTAGTAGAAGACCCCTAGAGGGCTGGATATACGGGTCTAACACGTGGAGCAGAGACCCAGGCCAGACACAGGCCTATG